AGGCCAGCCAGGGCAAAAGATCTGGCCCCTGGCCTTAGAGTGTCCTCGGTGAGAGGACAGCAGCAATCTTTCTTTCCAGACCTCCACCTTGACTCAGGAATGCTTTTCCCATCCCCATCTGCCTTCCTTTGATGTAGGGGTTCCCTCTACCCCAAGAACTTCTGTAATTTCTCCAAAGCCTTTTGACACCGTGGCCAGTCCTGCAGAACAGAACAGGAAATGATTCAAAGAGTCCTGGGGGTGGGTAACAAGTGGGCTGCTCACCTCCACCAAGTTGCAGTTCAGGCCAGCAGCCATCTCTGTGTGATCTTAGGCAAATCTCTCAACTCCCTGGGCCTGAGGGTCCTCATTTGGGCTGCGCAGCTTCTACCCACACACAACAGTCCTGAGCCCTGACTACAGGCAAGGATCATGTGAGGGTAGCCAACACAGGTAAGCCTTAAGAGGCCCAGCCTCGGGAGGGCAGCTGGTGTGTCAGAAATTACAAGACCACGAAGTAAACATGAGCGCCAGAGGCTAGGTGTGGTGGCTCACGCCTGTAATCCCAGAACTTTGGGAGGCTGAGCTAGTCAGATCACTTGAGGTCAGGGGTTTGAGACCTGGCCAACATGATGAAACCCCATCTCTACTAAAAACACAAAAATTAGCCAGACATGGTGGCATGTGCCTGTAATCCCAGCTACCCAGGTGGCTAAGGAAGGAGAATCGCTTGAAGCCAGCTAGGCAGAGGTTGCAGTGAGCCCAGATCACACCACCACACTCACTCCAGCCTGGCCAACAGAGTGAGACTCCATCTCAAAAAAAAAAAAAAATCATGAGCACCAGGTGAGGCCGAACAGCGGACGGTCATAAGCACTGTCCATGCCCTGACAACTCCCAAAGCATGTCTGCAGCCCAGAATTCTCTCCCCAACTCCAGACTTCTCAGATCTTCTTGACACCTCCACTTGTGTGTCTAGGAGACACTTCTTTGTGTCCTGAACTCAACCCCTCTGCTAACCTGCTGCACCTACAGCCGCCCTCACTTCAGATGATGGCAGCTCCGCCTCCAGCTGCTCCACTCACAGACCTCAGAGTCATCCTCAGCTCCCCTCTCACTCTGCCCAGTCCTCTAGCAAGGCCTGTCGGGTCATCTTTTAAACATACCCAGAAACCGGCCAGGTGCGGTGGCTCACAAGGTCAGGAGATCGAGACCATCCTGACTAACACAGTGAAACTCCGTCTCTATTTAAAAAAAATACAAAAACATTAGCTGGGCGTGGCAGCGGGCACCTGTAGTCCCAGCTACTCAGGAGGCTGAGGCAGGAGAATGGCGTGAACCCAGGAGGCAGAGCTTGCAGTGAGCCGAGATCGTGCCACTGCACTTCAGCATGGGCGACAGAGCGAGACTCTATCTCAAAAAAAAAAGAACCAGCCAGGTGCAGTGGCTCACACCTGTAATCCCAGCACTTTGGGAGGCTAAGGCAGGCAGATCATGAGGTCAGGAGATCGAGACCATCCTGGTTAACACGGTGAAACCCCGTCTCTACTAAAAATACAAAAAATTAGCCAGGCGTGGTGGCGGGCGCCTGTAGTCCCAGCTACTCATGAGGCTGAGGCAGGAGAATAGCGTGAACCCGGGAGGTGGAGCTGGCAGTGAACCGAGATCATGCCACTGCACCCCAGCCTGGGCGACAATGCGAGACTCCGTCTCAAAAAACAAAAAAAACCAACCAAAAAAAAACCATACCCAGAACCTAGCCACTGCCCAGACCTCCGCAGCCCTGCTGGGTCCAGACCCCTACTATCTTCCACCTGGATGGGGACAGTGGCCTCCTGACCCAGCTCCCTGCTCCCACCCTGCCCACACACAGCCCAAGGGATCCTCCCAACCCTCGTGTTCCCCTACCTCGCTGTGGGTGAGTGTCAAGAAAATTTCTGACATAAACCCAGAAGGCCCAGCACCGGGCCACTGAGTGCATGGTCTGCAAGGTAAGCACAGTGAAAGTGTTTCAAAAGCTCCTGGCAATGACATCGGCACAACATCTAAACATGGACACAAAAGTACCCGTCTGGATGGACTAGGAATTCAAAGCATGCTCTCAGCCAGATAGAGTTGAGAGGCCCTGCCCCACACCTCCTCCAGGCCCACCTCTGCCACGCTCCACCCCCATGCACCAGCCATGCTCAGTCACTCATCGCCACCTCACTGGCTGCCTTTCCTCAAACACCTTGAGTACACTCCCACTTCAGGGCCTTTGCACAGCTGCCCTTCTGCCTGGAAGGCTCTTTCCAACCTCCACAAGGCTCACCTCCATGCTCATTCAATGCTTGATCCATTCATACTACAAGCCACCCTCCCTTACCTCTCCAAAGACACTCAGCAGGACTTTTTGTCTTGCTGTTTTCCAGAGCACTCGTTACATAACATGCTGAATAATTTAAATTGTGTTTTTCTTTCCCATTACCATGTAAGCTCCATGAGGGTAGAGGGCTCTGTTCTGTGCTCAGTGCCTGGTGCCCCATGGGAACTCAATAAATACAGAGCAAAGGGCAGGTAGGGCAGGCTTCAAAAGGAAAGCCCAGAGCTGCACCTGCAGGCGGATGTCAGCAGGCCTGGGAAGGTCTGGAATGCTTCTGTGGGAACAGGAGGACCCCCAGACTGAGGGCAGGGGACACAGCTGGTGGAAGCAACTGAGGTCTGCAACGTCAAAGGTTCTGGGATGGCAGGGCCTGACATCTAAAGGGGCTTTCTGAGACTCAGGACCAGGGCATCCTTTATAAAGATGGACGGTGGGTGAGACTGGGAGAGGCTGACAGCAGGAAATTGGTCAGAAGGCAAGCACTGAATTGAGGCCATGGAACACGATGGACAATTCGAGAGACTTCCAAGGTCAGATCTACAGATCTATGTGGGAGGTGAGAGAGAGGGAGGGGCACAGGGAGAATGAGATGAAATATGGCACATGAAAGAAAGCTCTCCTCAAACATCCTCAGATTATTGCCAGTCACACAAGAGGCCTTCCTGGCTGTGGCTGCTCTCACGTGAAGAGGGCTTCCGAGCAGTCTGCCTCCTCTGCCTCTGTGGGGTCTGCGGTCTCAAATGTACCCCTCACAAACACCTCTCCTGAATCACAGCCTGCATCTCACCTGACAGTTTTCTGAATGGCTGGCATCATTCTGACTTTTCCACTGCCGATTTCCAAGAAGGTGTGCTCAAAACAAATCCACTGGTGTGCATAGATTAAGCACTTACCTTATACTCAACGCTTTGTGAAGCATCAAGAAAGAACAGAGAAGAAACATGGCCAAGGTCTTTGCCCCCCACTCCGACAGCCCCCTACCCTCTGACGGGGAGGGAGTGAGATGTGAAGAGGATGCCACACCCAACAGTTAAAGGAAGAAAATGCAACCCATATAACACTTGCTTGCTCAAAACTCATCTGGGGCATGAGAAATCTTCGAAGAAAAAAATACTCATTTTTATCTTCAACTCCTATCAGGGCTCAAGGACAAGAGAAATCCACATGGGGTGGATACCTTAAGCAACTTGCCAGGTTGGAGGAACAGGGGGCAGGTGGTAGGAGCGATATCCAAGCAGAGAGAACTGAATGGCACAGGCAAAGGTGCAGAGGCAGGGCCAGAGACAGCTGTAGCAGGGGGCAACGGCTAGCCTGCAGGCCTGCCAGGCCGTATTTAACACGCCAGGAAAGCCAGTTTACCAGCAGGAGAGCTAGAGGGCCAGGGGAACACAGAATTAGCCACCAAGGCTCAAAACAGACCTTGTCAGTTACCAAATGGGTAGAACACAGGAAAAACAAAAAGGGAACTCCATGGAGGGTTCTGCGGGACCTGCTGAGAACAGCAGCCCCTGACTGTCCGGGTGGGGTGAAATGGGCATGTAACTCCAATGCCTCTGGGTGACCCTTTAACGCATGGTTTTATCATTTACATTCTTTACAGTGCAGAGCTGGCCTTCCTTACATTTTCTAATGTCAGTTTAGAAGAAGCCAAAATCCTGTATAAACTGTTAGGGGAAAACAGGGGCATGAAGGGAAATATCCTAGAGTTAAATATAGTTATCACACAAATACCCAAGTCAAACAAGCTGTAATATTAATGAGGCATGAATGAACAGTAACTGTTTCCAGGGCTGAATAAAGGCTGGCCACCTTATCAGGGAAGTCGCACAAAAGCTCTCTGTCGTGCCCCTTCTTGTAAGAAGAGTAGAAGAGAACAGACACCTTTCTTCTCTGTAGCAGAGACCCCACTTGGGACCAAAGGTAGATTAGACTGAGAGCATTTTCTTGTAGGCAACAGTGAAAATCTGTTTTCAGTTTAACCTGCTACAGTTGTAGGGCTCTGATCAGGATGCATTATTAATTAGTAGAAAGAGAAGCCCCATTTTTAGTTACCCATTGAATTAGGTATCTTCAAACACCATGACCTAGAATTGACAGTACAGCTAACTCTCTGTTTTCCATGGTAACGGGGATTTCAGGAAGAAAAGCAGTTAATTGGGAAGCAAAAAAAAATCCCATTTTATTCAGGGCAAGGCATACATTACTGCATTAAGGATGATGGCTTCCAATGACCATCCAGTGAGGATCTTACATTGGTCTGGCGTTGTGAGGTTTAAATCACACATTTCCGGTCCAACAAGCCAAGGTGTCTGACCCACCACCATGGGTGGGCCAGACAGGTAGCAGAACCCCCTCCAGTTTGTCAGGGAATGGGAGCATGGGGAGAGCATGGGCCATCACCCCATGCCTTACCCAAAGAACAGCTCCCTGCTAAACCTTTGACAGAACTTCCAGCAAGTGACATGTGATCCTGGGAAGGGAGCACAACCAGGGCACAAGCTCCCAGGAGAGGGGAAAAAAGGGCTCCTGGGCCTGCTGGAGGCCAAATTGCCAGGCCCAGAGGAGACAGGGAGAGAGTTGGCTGTACTGGCATGGCAAGCACACCCCCAGCAAGCTGCCCAGCATTTCTAGTAAGGAAAAAAGCAAACCGCCGTCCCACCTCGGGCTGCGCGGTCACAAGTGAGGCAGGGCTGGGACCAGTCACCATTTGGGCGGGAGGCTAGCCCCAGGTGCGGCAGGAAGGGGTGGCGCTGGCTCAGTGGCTGCAGCTCCTCACTCTGACCCAGCGGGGCCCCTGTGCGGTGCTGGGGGCACAGCGAGGCCTCAGGCGCTGTGGGGCAGGGACACACACACACACACACAGAGAGAGACACGCCATTAGAGGGTGCGCAGCAGCCCCTGCAGGAGGTGCAGGCCAAGGTTGCTCGGGGTCAACCCCGCAGCCCACTGCGGTGGAAGCTGTGAAAAGCCCGCTGACCACATTCTGACCCTGAACATGCAGCTCAAGCGTAAGGTCTGAGGGAACCAAAAACGTCAGAGCTGGAACTGTGGCAGTATCATTTAGCCCAGCAGGACCTATGGCTACAGGCCCTGGACTCAGTATGAGGAGGAGGGGTGGATCAAACCAGGTTCCTACACCCCCACTGTCCCACCCCTGCATCTGCAATGTTCCACAAATTGTTCATGGAACATGAAGCTGTTTCAGCTCCTTGCTTAGCATCCTCTGGATTCTTGAGAATAATGACTGTGAAAAACACATAAAAAGAATGGCAGCTCCCCTTGGCCTGCATCAAAGCCACAGTCACAGCCATAGGAACAGAGGAAGTCAAGACAGTTTGGGACCAATTCAAGCCACAGGGAGCCTCTCTGGGGGTTTGTGAGAGGGTCCTTGAGAGAAATAAAACAATTTCACTTCTTAAAAGACAATCTTCATTTTTTTGGTGCAACTTAACCCTACGTTGAGGCTTCTGGAGATTAAGGTTAAATTGTTTTCAAGAGGTTTAACCAAGGTCACAACTTTTGCTTAAGCAAAGCAGTTCAAACTAAGAAGGAAAAATGACAACTACATATGGGACACGAATATGTTAACCTGCTCCGAGCTCGGTAATAATTCAGAATTCCTAGAAGCAGGAAATCTGACTTTAATATGCAAATCTCTCATTTAACACATTTCTCAAAATGCTAGTGGTGGCAGTACAATGTCAAATCGAAACCTGCAAAAGCAGGAAATGTTAGTAAATGGTCTGGTAACAGAACACTGACTAAGCAAGGGTTGACTGAGGTCTGTCAAACTACAAACAACTTCCTCTAAAAAAAAGTTTTCTGCTATGCTGACATAGCGTTACTAGGGATCTGCACTTTTGTTTCAGCAGCCAGAAGATATAATTTCTACAACCCCCACCTCCATCCTCACCCTGTCCCCCAAAGGCCACTAGGGCCACCTGTCTCTTTGAGTGTGGGGTCCACACTGTGGCTGGCACAGCACTGTGAAAATGGAGAAACACTTGCTGGGGGACCACTTCCAATGAACCACCAGGACGCCAATGTGGCTCACAGAGACCAGCTTCCATCAGGCCCTGAACTCCACTCTGTTCCCTGAAACCTCTTCTGACCATAGGACAAAGACCCGTATTAATCCAACATGCAAAACTAGAACTAGACCGGCCCCACTCAATGCAGACCCAGCCATGCAACCAAATCACCAGGAACTCTCATTTGCATGTTTGGAAGGGAGGACTTGTTCACACTAGCAACCTGTACAAGTTTTTTGCTGAAGTAGAATAATACTGAGCCATTCAAGAAACCTGCAGCTCAGTCGGTAGAAAAACATTTAATATGAGATTAAAGAAACAAGATTATCAAGAAAGAGCATTTGTTTCCTCCTGGCTACCAGAGTCAACTCCCCATTGTATGTGCAGCAGGACAACCCTCTTTGCTGCCAGACCCATTCTGACAAGGAAGCAGAAAAGACCTGCCTCTGCCCACCTTCTGCCCAGATGTACAGAATGAGACCCACAGAGCAGCAAAGGGTGTTAGAGACCCCTGAACCAGAGCAGCCAAGGGACTAAAATAAAAGTCCCTTTATAACCAAAACTCAATCCAGACCAAGAACAATTTGCCTGGGCCACCAAAAGCTGGGTACTCAGGACAGGTTCAAGCTCTGCAGTGGTCATCACTCCCTAAGCCCAGGGACACCCACCCCACCTGTCACCCATTGCTGCTGCTCTGGCAAAGGGTGAGAAGCACTTCCATTACTCACAGCCATGGTAAGAGGCCGGGGAACCCCCAGCCTTGCCATACTCCTGCTCCGAGTGGCTGGTGGAGAGGTTGGGCTGGCTGGAGCCTCGCCCAAAGGTGATCTGGTTGCTGCCCATGCCAGTGGCAACCTGGGCCATGCGCTCTTTGGTTTTGAGAGCTTGGGCCCTCTCAGCCTTCAGCCGTTCCTCATCCTTGAGGAGGGCCACCAGTTGCTTTGACTTCTCACGCACATTGATGCCCTGGTCCTTGCCATCTCGGTCAATGTACTGGAAGTCCTTCAGGGTCTGGATGGCGAAGATGTTCTCACGGCACTGCTGGGCCACACGTTCGGAGCCTGTCTTGATGAGGTAGTCCAGCAGGGTCAGCGCCTTGTACACATGCCGCCAGTTCTTGCCATGGTCATTGAGCCGCTTCCACACCATGCTCATGATCTCCGAGAAGGCCACCACATTGTAGGTCAGGTCGGCGATCTCGGTCATCAGAGAACTGGATGGGCCCCACGGGTCATTGGAGGTGGCTTCCCGGACTTTGATTTCTGCCTCCGAGTAATTGTTCACAATGTTTTTCATCTGCCGTCTGATAGACGAAGTCGTCATTTTTATTTTCTTTGTTACAAGTTTAAAGCCCTTCAAAGAGAGAAACTTTCCTGTCCTTGGTAAGTGCGCACCCTATGAAGGTTCAGTTTCCGTAATCAAGCTGCAGTAAGATCCCTGAATGGTCATTTCCTCCTTTGGAGCGTCAGATTCGAAAAGCTGGAAGCCATGACCTAGAGAAAGAGAAAACCCACTCCACTGCGACGTAAGCCCCCTGTGAGGGTGGGAGACTGGTCCAGCAGCAGGTACTGGGTAAAACTGGGGAGCTGAGTGGACATACCCAGCCTCCTCAGGATGAACCCAAGATAAAATCAATATTACCAGTTAACAATGAATAAAATTTACACTCAAGTTTAAGCCTTTAGGAGAAAGGAAGTAAACATCATGACTATTGCTCTATTTTCAAAACACTTCCACTGGAATGGCTATTTTATGGGTTGTCTTTTCACTGCCTGGCAAAAGTCAGTTGGGGAAGAATCGGAAATGCTGGGGGAAGCTGATCTTGGCAGATTTAAAATTATGTGTGAGACCAGATATGGTGGCTCACACCTGTAATCCCAGCACTTTGCGAAACTGAAATGGGAGGATTACTTGAGGCTAGCCTGGTCAAAACAGCAATACCCCCATCTCTATTTTTTTTTAAGTTTATTTAAATTAAAAAAAAAATACACATTATGACAAGAAAGAGACTAATTTCAGGTCTATCTTAACTCAAAAATGCCTGTCAATACCTTCAAAACTGCTTTGGTCCATTGTGCTTCCAAATGTCCAGAAAATTCTCCTTGACAATCACTTTTCGCCTGACCTTCCCTGCTCAAGAATTTATAAAGATTCCTAACAGCTCTTCTAGAAAAAGGATAAAGACCTCCACTTGGCTTTCAGAAGCCTCCAGCATCTGGCCCAAGCTAATACAGCCTGAAAACTAATCTGGTTATAGCCCAGCCCCTCATTCACAAAGAAAACTGAGATCCCTGGCTAGCCTTTAACTCGCTCCAACCAAACACATCATCTATCCCCTCTCTTTCTCCAGATAACACTCACTTACCAGGCTACAGTGAGGTCCACGTCTGTGACATGAGGCTCCTGTTCACAAGTTTGGTAACCTTCATCTGCCTCATCACCAGCGAGCACCCAGCACTTAGCACTGTGCCCGACACAGAAACGAACACTGTTAAATAAATAAATGTTACAGGTTAAAAACAGAGTCCCTGCCCTCAAGAAGGCCACAGTCTGGCAGGGGATGAAAGTTCCTTACCTATAAAATGGGAAAACTGAGTCCCTAGAAGTCTCCAGGGATTGCCCCAGGTAGATTAGGACAGCTGGGGCCCAGATAGGAAGCAAGGCGCTCCACCCACCATCCTGACCACCTGCTTGGCTGTCCCCGCAAACCCTCAGGGGAAGGATTATTTTTCCCACTATACAAGTGAGGAACCTGAGGCCTGGAATCACACGGTCAGCTGACTAAGGTCACTCCAGGCCCAGAACCTGCACCTCCCTTTCCTCCTGTGGTGGTCTTTACTCTCAAGATGTTTCTGCCACAGAAACAACAGGTAGCTCCTACCTTCCTCATCTAAAGCCTCAGATGGGTAAGGGGCACATTAAAAAAAAAAAACAAAAAACAAGTAAACAAAAGGTGGCAGAAGCAAGGAAATGCCACAGGAAATGCAATGACTACTCATCACAATCACACAAAAAGGAGGGTTTGCTATTGTGAAATATGTACTTGGTCTTCATCCCTGTCACTTGGCAGGGATTCCAAACCTAAAATCCTCAGAATCTCCACAGTGATGTCTTTTTGCATGTGAATGATTGACTGAGGGCTGGCAGTCCCTAGGCAACTTCAGGATAGGGCTGGTCACCAGAAAGACCAAGGCAAGATCAGTCCCGGGAAGGGGAGAGGGACTGAAGATTATCACCAATGGCCAATCATTTAGTCAATCATGTCTCCATAATGAAGCCTCCATAAAAAGACATAAGGACAGGCTCAGGAAGCTTCTGGATGGCTGAACACATGAAGGTTCCTAAAGGGTGACACCGAGGTATGGCATGGAAGCTCTGCATCCTTCTCCTCCACCTGGCCTATGCATCTCTTCATCTGTATCCTTTCTAATATCCTTTATAATAAATAGGTAAATACAAGTCTATTTCCCTGAGTTATGTGAGCCACTCTACCGAATTAACTGAACCCAAAGAAGGGGTCTCAACTTGAAGCTGGTTGGTCAGAAGTTCCAGAGGCCTGGACTTGCACTGCTGGGAAGGAGGGAGTGGTCTTGTGGGACCCGAAGCTACCTCCAAGTAAATATCAGAGTAGAACTGAAGGATACCTAGCTGGTGTCCTGCAAAACTGACTGCTTGCTTGTTACGTGGGGAGAAAGTTACAGAAGTCTTCTGCACTGATTGCTGTTTAGTGTTAAATGAGAAAATAGGAAAAAGTACTTTGTATGATCTTCCACACACAATAAGGGGGCAGGTCGTAAAATTTCACACTGGTAATAACGCATACATCTGCTCTGGCCAAGGAGACCTTCTCTCCACCCTCAAATATGTCAAGGAATCTGACTCTATCTGAAGTCACAGAACAGGGCTTCAGCTAAAACCAGGCATATTCTGCAAAGGCTGTGAAAGGACCAGGGATAAAAACTTTTTCACGGTGGCCTGCACATTTGACGTAATTAGGTTTTTCATTCATGATGCAACATTTGCTGCTGGCAAAGATACAACGGGCCTCACAAAGAAAAAAACAAAAGGGCCGGGCGTGGTGGCTCAAGCCTGTAATCCCAGCACTTTGGGAGGCCGAGACGGGCGGATCACGAGGTCAGGAGATCGAGACCATCCTGGCTAACACGGTGAAACCCCGTCTCTACTAAAAAATACAAAAAACTAGCCAGGCGAGGTGGCGGGCGCCTGTAGTCCCAGCTACTCGGGAGGCTGAGGCAGGAGAATGGCGTAAACTCGGGAGGCGGAGCTTGCAGTGAGCTGAGATCCGGCCACTGCACTCCAGCCTGGGAGACAGAGCGAGACTCCGTCTCAAAAAAAAAAAAAAAAAGAAAAAAAAAGAAAAAAACAAAAGAACATTTTAATTTTTAATGAATATTTCCCAGCTTAAAGGGCAAATATGTGTCAAAATCAGTAGTAGTAGTAATGATCAGAGGTACTTAATATTCAGGAGCCTTACAATGTGCCAGGGACCACCAGGCCCTTCTATTTGTTGTTCCATTTGATGTAGAGCAGGTATGACTCTTCAGCTTCTCAGAGAAGTGGGCAGAGCTAGGATTCACCACTGACGAAGACTTTGGCTGGGCATGGTGGCTCACACCTGTAATCCTAGCACTTTGGGAGGCCCAGGCAGGCAGACTGCCTGAGCTCAGGAGTTCAAGACCAGCCTGGGCAATGTGGCGATACCCTGTGGTGATACACATCTGTAATCCCAGCTCACTCAGGAGGCTGAGGCACAAGAACTGCTTGAGCCTGAGAGGCGGAGGTTGTAGTGAGCCAAGAGCATACCGCTGCACTCCAGCCTGGGCAACAGAGTGAGACCCTGTCTCAAAAAAAAAAAAAAAGAAAGAAAAAGAAAGAAAAAAAAGAGGACTTCGGCCACATCCTTCCCAGTAAAATGGTATCAAATGGTTGAGAATGTCCTAAGGAAAAAAAAAAAGAACACTTTCCTAAGTGAGAAACAATGCCCTGGGCTCTGCTGCCCTCCCCTATCTGGTGACTTTGTAGGTGGAAGCGGAAGACCTCCAGCTGGGCCCAGTTCCCAGGGATGCTGTGAGGCCCAGTCAGGGCTCCCAGTGAGCCTCCTAGACCTTTGGCAGCAAAGAAAAGGCAGTGATTCCTGTGAGCAAGGGCCGAAGTGTCGCTGCCCTCCCAGACACAAGCTGGGAAAGGAACTCCAAACGGGCTGTTGACCAAGGCAGGGGTTTTCTCTAACAGACTAACTTACAAGGACATCTGTTGATGGTCTCTGAAATACTTAAACTTCAAGACAAATGAAAAAGCTAATAAAATAATAAAATACTAGTTATAGTCAAAAAAACAAAATAAGGCCTATATAATTTGTGTGGCTGCCTGTTATTTTCTTAAAGCTGATAGACAGGAACAGCTTTCAGCACAGGCGGATGGTGAGAAGTGAGAGGTATGGAGCTAAGAAATCCTCACTAGGGCCTGGCGCGGCGGCTCACGCCTGTAATCCCAGCACTTTGGGAAGCCGATGCGGGAGGATCACTTGAGGCCAGGAGTTCAGCAACAGCCTGGCCAACATGGCAAAATCCTGTTTTTACTAAAAATACAAAAATTAGCCAGGTGTGGTGGTGCACACCTGGAATCCCAGCTACTTGGGTGGCTGAGGCATGAGAATCACTTGAACCCAGGAGGCAGAGGTTGTAGTGAGCTGAGATGGCGCCACTGCGCTCCAGCCTGGGTGACAGAGCAAGACTCTGCCTCAAAAGAGAAAAACAAAAAGAAATCTTCATGATATGGTTTGGCTGAGTCCCCACCCAAATCTCAACTTGAATTGTGTCTCCCAGAATTCCCCTGTGTTGTGGAAGGGACCCAGGGGAAGTAACTGAATTATGGGGACCAGTCTTCTCCATGCTATTCCTGTGATAGCAAATAAGTCTCACAAGATCTGATGGGTTTATCAGGGGTTTCCACTTTTGCTTCTTCCTCATTTTTCTCTTGCTGCTGCCAGGTAAGAAGTGCCTTTCACCTCCTGCCATGATTCTGAGGCCTCCTCAACCATGTGGAACTATAAGTCCAATTAAACCTCCTTTTCTTCCCAGTCTCGGGTATGTCTTTATTAGCAGTGTGAAAACAGACTAATACACCTCACAAGGGCCAGGTGTGGTGGCTCATGTCTGTAATCCCAGCACTTTGGGAAGCCGAAGCAGGCAGATCGCTTGAGCTCAGGAGTTCAAGACCAACCTGGGCAACATGGCGAGATCCCGTCTCTAAAAAATATAAATAAATAAACAAACAAATAAATAATTCTCACTAGGAGAAAAGTCACTGGAGGCTTTTTTTTTTTTTTTTTTTTTTTTTTGAGATAGTCTTGCTCTGTCGCCCAGTCTGGAGTGCAGAGGCGCAATCTCGACTCGACTCACTGCAAGCTCCGCCTCTCTGGTCCACACCATTCTCCTGTCTCAGCCTGTAGCTGGGACTACAGGCGCCCACCACCATACCCAGCTGATTTTTTGTATTTTTAGTTGAGACGGGGTTTTACCATGTTAGCCAGGATGGTCTCAATCTCCTGACCTCGTGACCTGCCCGCCTCAGCCTCCCAGAGTGCTGGGATTACAGGCGTGAGCCACCGTGCCCAGCCGAGGCTTTTCATTTTCCAGGCCAACTGGGCTACGTACCTCACCTAAGCAAGACTTTGGAGGCCGAAACTAATGATTCCAACCATAAGACAGTCCATGATGCGTGGGCCATGAGGCAGGACTCTAGCAGTGCCAGTGGGCACAAAGCTCTAGCTATTCCAGCTGAACATCTGGACTTCCATTACTTTGCCACACTTGGCCTTGGATACCTCAGGTCCCCATTTTTCACTGTTTCCCCTCAACCACAGGATTGGCTGTAAACATTTAAACATCTCCCAGCAAACATCTGCCATGAGTCCATCCCAGGAGCAAGCTCCAAGCTCCAAACATCATATACCACCCTCCACAGCACAACCTGTTATTTATGTCTGTTTCTTTTTTTTTTTTTTTTTTTTTGAGACAGAGTTTCGCCCTGTTGCCCAGGCTGGAGTGCAGTGGCGCAATCTCGGCTCACTGCAACCTCTGCCTCTCAGGTTCACGTAATCCTGGTGCCCCAGCCACCCAAGTAGCTGGGATTATAGGTGCCTGCCACCACACCCAGCTAAGTTTTGTGTTTTTAGTAGAGACAGGGTTTCACCATGTTGGCCAGGCTGGCCTTGAACTCCTGACCTCAAGTGATCCACCTGTCTCGGCCTCCCAAAGTGCTGAGATGACAGGCGTGAGCCAACCGCGCCTGGCCACATTCTATTATTTCTAGAATCTGAGTTTTGATTTGTTCTCACTCTTTTTCACACAGTTTGCACGCTCCACTTTCCAAACTTTCCTTCTCAATTTTCCAATTTTCTTGCTTCCAGCTTGTTGAGACTGAACTAATGCACATGCAAATGCAACTAAAACAGGATCATTTGTT